TCCATATCAAATAAACAAATGGCTTTGCTCTTCTTGAGCAGAGTTTTAGAGATTTTTTCCTATACATTCTCTTGTTAAAGATTTGATCCCCATTATGGTACCTCCCTACCTCCCCCCCCCGGGGGGGGGGGGGTCATCATTTGAACAAACTTGAATCTACACTACATCAGGATGCTTCCATAACAATATGACAAAACATGGCTTTTCTGTTCTTGAAAAGATTTTTTCCTATATATTCCTATGTAAACCTTTGATCCCCAATCGTGGCCCCACCCTACCCCTGGGGGTCATGATTCGAACAGAATTGAATCTACACTATCTGAGAATGCTTCCATATCAGTATGACTTAAGAAGGCCTAGCTGTTCTTGAGAAGAAGATTTTTCAAGTTTTTCCCCTATATATTCCTTTGTAAAAATTTGATCCCCCATTGTGACCCCACCCTACCCCCGGGGGTCTTCATTTGAACAAACTTGAATCTAAACTACCTGAGGATGCTTCCATATCAATATGACCAAGTATGGCTTTGCTGTTCTTGAGAAGAAGATTTTTCAAGTTTTTCCTATACATGTATATTCCTATGTAAAACTTTGATCCCCCATTGTGACCCCACCCTACCCCCGGGGTCATGATTTTAACAAACTTGAATCTACACTACCGGAGGATGCTTTCATATCAATATGACCAATTGTGGTTCTGCTGTTCTTGAGAAGAAGATTTTTAAAGATTGTTCCTATACAAATTTACAACATGACAACTGTGAATTTTGTATTTACTGCCATCCGGTAAATTCAAAATTTACAACATGACAGCTGATTCAGATGGAATTTTTTCATTGTCGAAAATGTCTGAACCTAACCAACCATCCCATCCCCAACCCAGAAATAATATGTAAAACGAAATAGGATTTTCGAGTTTGAACATTTTTTTTCTTCATTTTTTTCTTTTTAGATCTACCTGTCACAAAAACATCGATATCAAATGGTCGTTCTAATAATCAATTATGACAGTATTGTTGTTTTTAAAACGCTTTGTAATATCTTTTGTGATCCGGTTCAAGTGTTTATCGTATAGGGTATATGGGTCAACGATTCTTTTAAGCTTTTACTCGATTACAATGCTCTTGTAACAATTTCAGGTGTTTTTCTATCAGCCTTGAGTAGTGCAATGTATAATTATAAGTGACAGTTTAACAAAATATATTCTTATTTGTGCCTTATCATCTTCAATGCCTTGTTCTAACCAAGTGGGGTATGATATGAACAAATATGAATCATCACTAAAATGAACCTGAGAAATTACCGGTATTACACTTGTATATATGTTTATGAGAAGTAGATTCACCTATATATTCTAAGTAAATATTTTATTGTGATCCCATCCAAACCCCGGAGTAATAATTAAATACAATATGTAAATTTCAATCTGCTCTATCTGGGGATGTTTGCATAATAGTATTATTTATATTGCTCTAAAAGATTTTTTTCCTTTCTTATTATTATTATCATTATTACTCCATGTAGTTTGGTATGGCCCACCCTACCCCGAAGAGGTGGTATTGATTTGAATACATTTGAATTTCTATCTGAGGATGTTTACATGTTAATATGGCTAATTATGACCTTGCTATTCTTAAGAAAGGTTTATTTAAAGATTTTTTCCTATATATTCCTAAATATAAATTTTAATCACTTTTAGCGGCCAATTGGTTCTTGAGAAGAAGCTTTAAAAATAACCCCACCATATTTTTGTCTCTTCTTCATTATCAAACCTCGGCCTTTGAAGAGGATATGATTCTTCACTTGGACAAACTCTGATTCCTCACCCCAAGGTAACTCTATGCAAAGTTTGGATGACATTAAACCAGTGATTTTGGATTAAGTCGAAAATGTAAAAAAGAAAAAAAAAATACAGACTCGGACAAACTTTCATCAAAGATCATTTGAGCCTCTAGCATAGGCAAGGTTATAAATAATCTTGGCCTTGCTGCTTTTAAGGTGATTCAAACATGACAAAATCAAATCTACCGCGCAAGTCAAACTACTGAAGATAGGTTGATGTCGTGATCCTAATAATTACGTTTTATTTTGTTATGGAACTATTCTATAGAATTTATAACGTTAAATATTTAAATTTTAGCTCACCTGAGCCGAAGCTTCAAGTGGGCTTTTTTGATCAAACTTGTCTGTTGTCTGTCGTCGTTGTTGTCGTCGTTAACTTTTTACAATTCCATCTTCTTCTCCAGAACCACTGGGTCAATTTTAATCAAACTTGTCACAAAGTATTCTTGGCTAAAGGGAATTCGAATTTGTTCAGATGGTCACGCCTTCTTCCAAAGGAAGAAAATAATGAGTCAGTGAAAATTTGTACAAACCCTTTTCCAGAGGTGCTCTTTCTATCATGGTGTAAATTTTGAATTTACTAGGGAGAGGTAAATGCGAAATTTACAACATGATAACTTTTGCATTTACCTCCCCCTAGTAAATTTAAAATTTACAACATGATATTTCATAAAAATGACTCAATATGGACCATGCTGATTTTTAAAGATTTTTCCATATATTTCTTTATAAAAAGGGCTGATAAAAGAGACAAAAATATGGCAGAGTTATTTATAAATCTTCCTCTTGCCCAGCTCCGGGGGTCATAAATTAAACAAATGCAAAATATATGAATATACTTCAAATTATCTTATTTATGTAGCAATGTTCCATTTTTATTAGTCGCCCGCGTGGCGCAGTGGTTAGAGCGTCTGCTCTAGAGTCGCGAAGTAAGGAGTTGATCCTTACGTCGCAGGTTCGAATCCCACTGTGGGACGTAGAGACCGGTTCTTTGGAAAAGACCGTATAAACCGAGGTCCCGTGTCGCACTAGGTGCCATATAAAACATGCAAGTAAACCAAAACGTTCGTCGATACCAAGCACTGAAACTCAAAGCAACGGAAGTGACGATTTCTAACTATATAAAATAGAGAGGCGTCCCAGAATTACACGTAAGGTCTAGAGAGGTCAGAAACCGTGCTAAAATTGCTCTCTCTAGACTCCTTGAAATCCCTTGACGCTTACTTCCATTGCTTTCAGTTTCAGTGATAGGTATCGAGGACGTTTGGGTTTTCTTGCATGTTTTATACATAATAATATTTACATTATTTACACACTGAACTGTCGACGGATTTTTCCGTTATTTCCCGATCATGACAAGGAGCACACGGCGGGTGTGACCGGTCGGCAGGGGATGCTCACTCCTCCATGGCACCTGATCCCACCTCTGATGTTTGGAGGTCCGTGTTTGCTCTGCTCCTATTTTGTATTGTTTAATGGACTTTTGAGTTTGAATACTGTTCGTTATCTCCATATATTTCATACGACAAGTTCAAATCGGCAGACGATCGAAGAGCGTTATTCAATCATTTTAGTACATGTTTCACACCTCGAACAAAGGGTTTTTGCTGCTACCAAATCACTTGGTAAACTCCAAGGCCTAGCTTCATGGTTGGGTGACTATGTCATTGTGTGCATAATTATTGAACTAATCATGATCAATAATAGGTTACAATCATGCTCAAAGGGCAAGGTAACTAATTAAAACAAGATTATATGTTGATAAACTTTTCTCAAGTACCATGAGATTTGGTGCCGAGCGAAGCAAGGGACCAAATCGAATGGCGAGGGAAAAGTTTAACAACATATTTAGTACATGTTTCACACGAGAAATTAAACCTATTGTGTCTATTCTATTTCATTACAATTCTTTGTGTGTTTCTTGTTCTTTAATCAAGATAACAATGATTTGATTTTGACTGTTGCCATTTTGTACAGGCCCAGATGTGATAATTATACCCTCTGGGTTATATAATTTTATCTCATGCTAAAAGCAGCTACAAATGAAAAGTACTCAAGAAATCCAGCAACTAATGCTTCAAAAACCAAGTTTATCACACAACAATAAACTTTAAGTCAGTGTTTCCAGGGGATTTATGTTTTGCCCTGTTCATGTTTTGTATTTTTATCGGATTTTTGAGACTGATAATAGCACTGTCCGTTATATTTACCTTTATCATTGCACTAGATGATCTAAAATCTTGGGATCTCCCAATCTTCAGGTACTTTCGTTTTGTATTTGAATTCCATTCTTTTATACGGTAAGTCATTATAAACATTTATTATGATTTTTACCCCAGATTAGAATTCGGAAAATTGAGTGCAATAACGGTAATCGAGTATTTTAACTGAGTATTTTTGAAGGTCTGTTATTTACCTGTTACCCCCATTTTCCTTTTGTTTACAAACAAAACTTTAAAAACAGATTGGTCTGTCGTGTACTTTTAAACACATGCGTAAAGGAAGTGCATTCTACAGCTGTTCTATGCGGTCTATAGATATTTTTTTTATATTTTTTTTTAATCATATATATATATATATATATATATATATATATATATATATATATATATATATATATATATATATATATATATAAATAATTTTATGTCATATTCATTAATTGCAATGTAGTTATCTGCTCCAGCAGGAGAATCATTGAAGTATGATTTTTTTTTTTGGGTCGCTTATTTTATGGATTACTCTTAGTTGACACTATTTGTGTGTGTGTGTGTGTGTGTAATATTCGTCCCTTTAATACACCTGTATGACTAACCGAATTATTTAGGTGGATTCCCATTCGAGATATTTAGTTCAAGGATACTAAATGATAATACAACTTGATTGATTTGCAAGTGCGTATATATGTAGAATAAATTCTTTTTGTTTTGTTTTGCCACTTGTCCATTAATTATTATATATACCAGTTTTAAATGCATTAAAGACACTTAAGAACCGTGGGGCACTGTTGTCAAGGAATTTTTGTTTGATAGTACATATACCTTCAAAACTGAAAATATGTGATTGCATCCCCCAAACAGATTGCAAGTTTTAATAAACCATGGAAATTTTCTTTACAGGTTCTACGTTGCAGTTATTTGTCTTTATTAAAAAACATGTTAAGCAAGAAGATATCGTCTTACCTCCTCTTTTTATGCTTTTCATCTTCCTATTCTATGCAACAAACAAGTAAGTTTGTGCGATTACTGTTTACTTTTGATGTTAGTTCACCAAAATATTTATTATCATTAATATCTTCCCTATTACGAAACTAGTATCATCAAAGCATAAAAATTAGATTAATGGTAATTATATTGAAGAAATACCTGATCTTTTACAGTCTTGTTCGTTGTATAGGTTATCGTTATATTGTTTCCATTTAATACAAATTCATAATTTAAGGTAAGGCAATATGTGACTCAGAAAATCTTCAAAAAGATGGATAGTTCAACTGTTCAGCATCTTTTCTTTGTTTTTTTTTTTCAAATGGTGATGATGATGATAATAATAATATTATAATAATAATAAAATAAATAAATAGCGTTTTGCTTTTGAATTGAAATGGTTCATTTTGATAATTCTTCAAAGAATGAGGCGATTGTTATATAAGATAAAATCATCAAAGTAAAATTGCTAAGGCTGTGTGGCTTTGTGTCATTTTCAGGAATCATTTTTATTGTGTTTAATACTAAGGACGTCCTCTAAATTAATTTGAAAGAAAGAGTCTTTATTCAATAATTTCAGATGAGCCTCGCCAGTGTATGATTATTCAGGACAAACAAACACTCGTGTTGCCACAACACGGTGAGTGCTTCCATCTTTTTCTTCAGTAGACTCAAAGATTACCGTTTATCGACATATTTATCGATATAATCATGTTTTTTTTCTGAATACTGCGGTCCTTTTCAAATTCAAAGAAATGTAAAAAAAAAAAAAAAAAAAAAAAAAAAAAAAAAAAAAACAGCAATGAAGTTCAAAATCCATTGAAAGAAGTCGTTGGTTTCTGTTTTAAAAATGATTTTAAAAAATAAAAGAAGTTTTTGGACGTGCATAGAAATTTCTTCAAGTAAGAATAAGCATACATGTAGCGCATTAAGAAATCAGGAACATTGCTTTGTATGTGTGTTTCTTTTCAAAGTCGTATCTTTTTTAGGGATACCTGATTTTTTGAAGAATAGAAACAAGGAAATGTGCCAAATAAGAGATTCAAGTAATATTTCAATTTAAAACACAGATAGATATATATATATATATATATATATATATATATATATATATATATATATATATATATATATATATATATATATATATATATACATGTATATATATATATATATATATATATATATATATATATATATATATATATATATATATATATATGCACGTAACAAAACTAAAGAAAAAGTATAAGAAAAGAATTAAAATCAGAGAAGAGTGACAAATTATACCTCTCTTTAAAAATCTATTGGTTTTTTTTTTTTAATTCTTTAATATCGTAAAATTTATATTTCTTTTTTCCAGATAGCAAAGCTTTACGTTGTGGCAATACAGGTGTTTCTATCAAATCAGAGTGTGTATGCTCCTTTTTCAATGTATATGAAGGAACTTATCATTCATATTCCTCTTGTCCTGGTAATGTGAAGTCAGACGATGTTAGATTATTGAGATGTAAGTTAATTCACAATACTTTATTTGTGTTTAATTATAAAGTTCCACATAGAAATTGGTCACTTGCTATAATGACATAGATTTCGTTATATTTTTAGGTATTGATTGTGTGAAATACAGCTTACCAAACAAAGGTCCGTGTATCAATGGAGGAAATCTTACCTGTAAGGAAACTGGCCCCGATGTTAAGGCACCAGATATCAAATGCGATTGTCCACCCGGGTTTATGGGGATGTTCTGTGAAAATAAAATGGAAAAGGTACTTTTTAGATAAAGGATTAAACTAATAACTTACGTTCATTTAAAAACAATATACAATTATCCATCACACTATAATATAATATTGTACAATGTTATGTTTAGGTTACAAGAATTTGTGATAGAATTGAAAATGCCTCAACTCATAATCTGAAGAACTGTGATGTTACAAAAATGGACTGCATTACTTACAGTGAAAGGAAAGAATATTCTTTCAAGTGTAGTGAAAAATCTGCGACAACCCAACAAGGACAAAGTAGGCGATATTATGCTACAATTAAAGAAAAAGTGAGATTAAAAAATATAATTTAAACTGATGTTGCAGGGAATATATATATCATGATTTGTTTTTCTTGCAGTTACATTGCCACTATGCAGTGAAACAGAAATGCATCACACCAGCCTGCCGAACACGGTGGTAACTATAGACAGTGCCGTTAATAACAGAAGAAGGCAACCCAATCCTCAATACATATCAGGAGGCAAGGCAATGACCTCGACTCTTTCAATCACTTTATTTAACGTCTACGCACTGCTGCAAATCTGAAGAGTATTCTCCTAAACTTTTGATCTCATCGTTTTGCAATTTCAAGACTGTGGTAACGTATCGCAAAAATATAGTACCATATTCTGAAGAGCAGATATCCAGTGACTAATACTGTAAATCATTTTAATTTGTGGGGGTCAATATTCGTGGGCGAGCAAAATTTCCTTGGTTCTTGAAAACGTAATTTCGTGGGTAACTCGTATATACAGAAGATTCAATGAATAAATATGTTGACAAAATAATTGTTCGTGGAGATGTAAATTCGTGGATAAGGGTGACCACGAATATCCCCCACCCCCGAACATTGATGATTCCATAGTATCACAACTTCGTATTTTACTCTCTTTACTAAATCGATGGACAGATTATGGGTTGGAGAAATATTTCTTTAACATATTAACATCATCATAAGTATTACTCTTAGCTTACCAGGCAAAACTTCTAGTAATTGTAAGCTTTTTTAATCGACATTTGTTAGTTTAAACCCATATTTTATTTGAAAATGACAAGCAGAAGATACAGATACGTAGAACAAAAAAAATCAAAAAGGATTCGGAAACAAGTTTGAAAACTTATACTAATCCGTTTCCTTATTATTATGATAAAGATGACAGACCCTTATTAGATAGCTATATAACACGGTTTGAAGCTGTTCGTCGTCCGAATGTCTTCTGTTCATGTTTACAATTTTAACTCCTTCTGGCCTAATGATTTTGGGATGAAGGGAATTTAAATTTGTTCAAATGAAGGACCACGACTCCTCCCAAAGGGAAATGATTAATGGTAAGAATAAATTCAGAAATATATATGATTCAATGTTTATTTCTCCTCAAATCAAGATTCTTGAAGCAAGGATTGGGTGAAAATTTTACTATGGATTTAGTCTATACTTCCTCAGTAATTTGTTTACAACATATCTTTTGGCTCTGTTAAGTAAAATTTGTTTAATATATATGCGTTAATCAAATGACAGTCGTAATGTATTTACATAATCATTTTAAGTATTTCGTAAGAGAAATGCAACCGGTTTAACCACAGGAGACATCCAACATTCTGTTCTTTATAGTAACTTATTCACACATACCCTTGACCATGTACTTCTGTTAATTCCAAAACCCTAGGTATGTTCATGTACATAATGTAAAAATTTGGAATTGTGTATAGATGAATTCCGTGAGTACATTTAATGGTACTAAATAGCATCCAGAATTTACGCGTATGGGTTTGGTAATTAATAAACATGTGCCTTCAGCTTACTGTGATAATAGCCCAAAGAAAATAGTTTAGTTGTTGAGTAGTGTAGTATTTTTCAAATTTTGTTTTTATTTCTATTAGCTAGTTTTTTATCTGAAGTCTGTTGATGAACTATACTGGTGCCAAACTTTTTTAAAGGAAAAGTAAGATTTGCTCAATTCCAGTAAAAGTCTTTGTTTTTTTTAATGTGTGATTGCTTATACTTAGATGATGAATCATTTAAATTTAATGAGCCAAAATGCTTGGAATCTCAATTTAAGAAGAGTTTCAATATATTATTGAGTCTTCCTAGAATGAAGCAAATCATGAACAATCTGTCTTGTTGAATTTGATCGGTAGAATCTTAATTCTTAAAGGACTTATCGCATGATTTTTCAAAAATCGTAATTTTCTGAAAAATATTATTTACAACCTTGTTTATTAAAATACTGAATACAATAAACGTTGTTGAAAGCATATTTTAAGAGATATTGGGAGTTGAAATTCAAATACGGCAATATGCATATTTCAGTCGGATTTCGGCGAAATACAGCTCTGACGTCATAGGCGACAATTCAGTGATAGAGAGATGAGAATATACACACTATTTACGGAGTTATCAACGACAAATGCAGCTTAATTATGAAAAATCTGAAAAAATTAATTCCTAACGTGCTTTTCATTTACTTTAGAAACATTAACTAGTGGTATAAGGCTTATGAGATATTTTCATTTTTTATTCCAAACATTTGGAATCTGTATGTCTGCAATGTTTCGTGATCGGGGAATTATTTTTCAAGATCGCCATCCTTTAAAAAACATATGAAGACTTGCATAAATTAATATCACGTTAAAAGCGAAGAACAACAAAGTTATATAATGTAAAATTTTTTAATCAAATATGTAAGTACATGTGATAAGATGACAAATCAAATCGTATTCTGATGGCGAGTTTCTTCGTCTTTGCCGCGTGTCTCTCGCTATCGTCGCTGCTATTTTCACAATGTTAACAAATTTTTCAGATTTTTTCTTGCTGACAATTTTAACATATAAGGTTGGGCATTTAATTTCATATCGATAAAATAAGCGATTTGGTCGTCCACAACGCAGAAAATTCAGGTTGTGTCGCGTATATTTTCGTAAGATTAACGTGTAGAGCTGATCAGTCATAAACGCCTTTGACGTAACAGGGCCACGTGATCGCTAACTAATTTTAAAAACTTAGGGGTTTCATTTGAGTCAATAATTGATTAATTACCGCAGTTTATCCGCAGTAAAACACAAAATTTATAAACTGTGGTCATAATGACAGTTTTACGCTTTTAATCTTAAATAATTTAGAAACATGCGATAAGTCTTTTACGGCATAAAAAAGATACAAATGTGCCAAATAATACTATGCAATAATGAAATTTAATAATAGTAGTACCATGTACTGCAACTTGAAATATGGGAGTTATACTTAATTAAAGCTCGGTTTCCGTCCCGAATTTCGAAGAATTTGATTCGACAACAAGATTCCTGTGTTTTTAATCAAGAATATTGTGATTTCATTTTGAAAACCAAAGGTCATGTTTGTTTTTTACGATGCAATTTAAGAATGTTTTATGATAGGAGTCACTCCAGTTTTCCCTGTTAACAATTACGTGAATTATGCATTATGTATCTAACATATATGCACATGTATTATAGTACTGATTGTCCGAATTTTTCATATTTCATCCTTCAGAATCATTTGTAATTTTTTCGTGTATAGTCAGTGCTTTTGTTTGCAATCATTATAAACTTGATAATTTATATCATTTGTTTTTCTTCATAAATTTCAAATTTAAATTTAAACAATATCTTATTATGTTATATTCATAATTGGATTGTGCAGCAGGCACACTGCCTGTATAAGCTCTTTCCATATTTTCTTTATAATTAATATAAATCAAATTTTATTGTTTATCATTAAAAAATAAACATTGATCACCTGCTTATTCAAAATAAGAAGACGGGCCAGGACAGAGTGAATTGATCATATAAAACTATAAATATACTTTCAATAAGCTCAAAAGACCAACTTTAACTACCTCTTTTATGGTGGAACTATGTATTACTAGTATACTGAAATCTCTGAAGTCAAAATAAGCATAAATTCCTTTTACAGTTACTTTCAGTTTTAATATTCGGAAATAAGAACGTAAATTTTACTTCTTTTTTCAATGTTAACAAATTTAAAATATATTTTTTTTCTCTCAAAAGATTTTTCCTCTTCCAAAACTCTCTTGTATTTTACATAGCAGCTCACACAATTGACGTCATTTAAATATGACCTTAGGTTAATTGGGATACGGGTATAACTCATAATTATCAATTGAATTTCAATGCTTCGTTGATTTACTTTAGGGCCATCATTTTTTGTGTTTGTATTGCTCAAAAATAGTATCGGTACTTATTTTGAAAACTTGTAATAAGATTTAAACAGTGACTGATAAAAATGGTGTTAGTGGCATTTTAAAGACAGAAATCTTTTAGTGTGTCTATCTGTTTTTGTTATTGTTTGAGATGGTAAACATTATGAATTCTGTTTACCCTGTCATCTTACGCTCATCTTTGATAAAATAATGTTATATTTATGTATACTTACGCTATGTATATACTTGTACCATATATACATGTATTTTAGCATCATTAACTATAATGATTCTAGTATATTATAACGTTGTTAATCTTGTTTCTTTGTTTGAAGTAGGAAGATAGCCATTAACACTGCAAATATAATTATATAGATTGTGTTTTTCTTCTTCTATTGTGCATTGAAACAATTTTACAGTACAGTTGAAAAATAAAATCACATTATCGGTTCTTGGTGTACATAATTTTATTTTAATTTTTATTTGTATTCAAGGTCGTTCTGTTCCTACTGTTTAAAGCGATAGGAGAATGGATAAAAATCCTCCAAAGACGGGGAAGGTGGGAGGGGGGGGGGTGTCACTGACATAACTTATGGAAAGAAGTTAATTCTAAATCATGAGAAAACAGGGAGTTGCCACTTCTTGTTTTAGTGGTTATCATATGCCTGCTAAATCTTCAGTGATAGAATTCTCTTTGTGAAAGTGTTTACTTTTGGATTACCGGTAAATTAGTTAGCATGACGTATGTTTTGATAATACTTTTTTGCAAACTTAGGAGGTGATTATAAAGGAGATTACACAGGAAATTCTTCCCACAGAACGTTTGCTGACATCCCATGCTTTTTCTATTGATTTTGTTAAATATAAACATGTACATGTATTAGGCAATTATCTGTAGTTAATGAGGTGCCTGTTGTTGTTGTTTTTTTTAAAAAAACTTAAACAGAAATTAGCTATTTCTTTCACATGCAGTTGCTGATGTTACATAAATATGCAGCTTATCGCGACCTGGTGATGTAATTCGTTTCTTAGAGCTGTTAGTATAGATTAGAAGTAAAAGTTCTTGTTATCGTGGATAAGACCCAATGATGGGTCGTATTTGCAAAGAAGGACACTATAACAACCATAGATATTGCAAAAAGCTGCTAATTTGCGAAGAAAACAAAATACTAGTACGGAAGCGTATTAGTGCCACTTGGACACTTTTTTATTTTTCATTTTCCACACTTTAATGTGTAAATTTTACACTTAAATCTGTAAATTTTACACTTTAATCTGTAAAATTTACACTTTTTATCTGTTTAATTTACATAATCAATTTTGCAACTTCATTCATCTTAATGTATGAATAATATGAAACTTTCATAGAATATTTAAGAGAATTATTAATTTAGTGGATGTGAAGAGCAAATCAAACACATTTATGTCTTCTCAATAAATATAATATTGATATCATTATACGCAAATTCATTTGATGCGCTCAGCAGTTCAATTATTGATAGCATTAATTAAATTAAATTCTACATGTATTACGGGCAACAATTGAATTACTTATTGAATTGAGAATTTTTAAATAAACAATTAAAATATTAATTATTAAAGTATAAACATGTATCAATAATTAAAGTATATGAGTTTATATTAATTTTGGAACAGCATACAAATTAATATCATTTGATTCAATGATGTTTCTTTATTGTTACGTTCTAAAATCACCGTAATTTTAACTGTTATATTTTACATTATGATCATAGACTCATAAACTTGTATATTAATCTGAACTGCGAATGAGAAGACAAAAATATTTGAGATATATATTTTTTACTGTTCGTCGCTCTTTACTATAGTACTAAAGAAATATACTGGATTGAAAGTAGATTCCCGATATTTTGCTGGGGAAAATTACGAGGCCCATGAGCACATCGCCCATCCTTACTTATCATATATACATGTATAAACTTTTATGGAAACACT